GCAGCGAACTCCCGGCGCCGCTGCTGGGACCCCCCGGGGCGGGGGCAAAACCGATACTGAGCCACAGCGGGAATTTTTGAGCTGCACCCCTCACCAACACGCACCGCTACGCAGAAATGGGCTCGTGCAGCGGAACCTGCAGACCACGAACACGCGACCGAGCATCTCGCGCCCCTCCTCTCTGTGAAAGCCACCGCCCGGGCAGGAGCCCCGTGGGAGCCCTGCCCGCCGCCGACAGAAGTCCCGGTGCTAAACGTGCCCACGCAGCGGCGGGGCCGTTCACAAGGTACCGGTCTTGAGAGCAAGGAGAAACAGGAAAAGTTCCTTCCCTTTAGCAAGGATGTGCCGGGGACCGCCCTGAGGCCATCAGCGCTCGCAGGGGATCCAGGCAGAGAGGGGCCACGAGGAGACCTCGCTCTGTTCCACGTTAAGACCTGTTGTAGGGACTAGACATGTTTCTAAACAGATTTATTTGTATTTCCTGAATGCATTCCCCCCAAAAAGTGACATAACAACGACTAAAATACCAGAGGATTCAGTATCAGATTGCAGGAGGGAATGATCTTGGTTAAGTGCAAGTTACTACAAAACCAGCAAGTTACTACAAAACTACAAAAACAAAAGTGCAGAAGAGGTTACAGGTTGAATTTCTCATGGGGTATTTGGGGGGAGCAGTTCAGGAAACAAAAAAAACCCCCAGGTGCTAGAGAAAATTAACTTTCCCTTTCAGTTCATATTCCATGCATGAAGCTTTAGGCTGTTACCAGAAGTTAATGTAAAAAAATTAGTAACTCCCCCAAACTAGAAGCATCAAACGAGGAGAGGGCGAGCGCGGTGACTGCTCTTGAGCATCCTCGCGCCTGAAAACTCCCACGAGCTGCAGGACTTGTGCTGTGTGCGAGGGTTTGCAGGAGCACCCGAAACCTCTCGGGAACCTCAGCCTCCCTAAAACCGCACTGAAGCGTCCCAGTAGCACCCCTGCTCTTTGGTGTGAACAGGGAAAATCCGCACAGAGGGAAAAGGTCCCTAAAACAAGGGGGGGTGGGGTGCGTTGGTTTTAAAAGGAGCGCACAGATTGCAAACATCCTAACGCCCGGTGCAGCACCCCCAGCCCCCTGGCTCAGCGACGGCTGACTCGAGTTTGCCAAGACCCTCATCTATCTTAAACAACAAAAGAGAAAAGAAAACCAGTGCAAAAATATTGAGCTAAGTGAAAAGCGGGGGCCCAGAGACTGTAACATCTCATGCCACGAGATATGCATGGGCGAGGATTTAGCGTATTCCCGGGGCGGGGGCGGTGACCCGAGAGGCGCAGCCGAGCCCAACCAGTGCCCAGCTGCGCTGAGCTCCCCCCCACCACCACCTCTCCAGCCTGGCACCAAAAGGGGCTTTTTTCAAATTCCAGGGTCCTCAACAGTTTTCAGAGACTCCAGGAGGGAAACTGAAAAAAACGTAGCCTAAAAATCCAGCACGACTGACCGAATGGAGAGGAGAAAGCAAGCATCGCTTACAACCAGAAAGAAGTCACCGATGGTGGTTACACTGGTGCCCGCAGCAAGACTGGGCTAGAAAACACCAGGGGAGCGAGGGGCACCCCAGGGCAGAGCTCGGGGGAGCCGCGGGGGACGGCGGCCTCGTGCCGCTGAGCTCCCGCCGCGC